TTTGTAATTATTTTTTTAAATAATAGGATTCAATACAATTAAAAATATATTATGAGTTAAGTAAAAAAAAAAAACATAAAATTTTAAAAATAAAAATAACAAACATTTAGCTCTAAGATTTAAATTAGTAAGTTCAAAGATAAAATGAGTGAAAAATATTATTTAATATATAATAATATATATTTTTTGTACTCCTGGCGCAATTTTTTGTATTTTTCTTTGTAAATTTGCCGTATATTGAGTAATAACTACCAAAAAAAATGTTTTAATTGTGTATAATTTGACAAAGCAGAATAATTTAACTTTAAGTTCAGACCAAAATTTGACCCTGAAACTGTGTTCTCTCTCTGCTGCAGTTTTCTTTTGAAAAAGAATGAGTGAACAAATCAAGGGCTGGCCGCCACATCAAAATATTGACATTGAGGCAGGAGGCAGCAGCTTCCGCACCGTTGGTGACCACGATGAGATTTCTTCTTGCCCTTTCGACATTTTCAGGACAAAGTATGCCACACGCGACCGGTTAAAAAGATGGAGGGTATGTTTAATTTCATTATAAATTTTTATTTTTCTATAGGGCTGTTTTTGTGATGTGTGTCATTTTAAATTAACATAGGGATAATAATGTGAATATAATGTTACTCCGTATTTTGTTTGACCTCCTTGATTACAATAGGAAACAAGTAGTCCGTTGTTGAATATTCTCACGTGGGTGGTACTTACCAAGAAACTCAGCACAATAATTTGGAAGTACTTGAACTCCCGCGCTAGATTCGCCTTGGGCAAAAACGACCCCCACGCTTAATCTTTTACACTATATGGTTCTTAACTAATTATATTTGTTAAAATACTCTATTTTTGTAGGTGGTGTAATCTTGTTAATATTAAGTTATAATGCAATTTTAAAAAAGTAAATAAAAATACATATGATTGCATTATATTCTTAAGATCAGAATAGAGTCATTTTTAATTGTCCTATCCCCACAAATAGAGCCGTTGAAGAGACCCAATAGGAGAAGACAAGTGTTGAATATCAACAATCTCTTTATTTTCTACAGAACCTACGGACAATGATATCAATAAAATATTCAATGACTCATATGTCTGTCATGCAACAAAGTGGGGTTGGGACAGGATCCCATTTTAAGCACAGCTCTCCCATATTTATAAAAAACTGTTTATTAAACGCGCAAGGAGGGATGGGTTTAGGAGATTATTTTTGTAATAGTATTAGAATTTTGTAATTGTATTGGAATGAAGATAAATAATAAAATAAAATTTTAACTATAGTAATAATTATTTATTCTTATGTAAATAGAACAATATTCAAATTTTTAATTAGGATTTATGATTTAATATTATTGTAAGAACATCATAATAATAAGTAAAGATTCTCAAATAAAAAAAATTAAATATAAAATATATTATAAGGACAAAAGTATAATTTAGTAGTATAAATAAATAAATAAATATATATATATATATATATGTGTGTGTGTGTGTACACGTGTCCCAAAACTAATTTTTAATCTTAATTCTCATGCTCGCCCTTAATAGCTTTTAACTACCCTATAACATCTCTACAGGAGGAAAGGCCAATAGCCCACGAATATGGTGTCATCCCTAATCATTAAGTATACGAACTAATGAAAATTCTTTGTTTTTCTTGATAAACAAGAAATAACAAATCAGCATTGGTTGGGTAATGTATTCCCAATGTTAGGGGATTGAATACTTTCTCATCCGTATTCGTTGTGTTTTTAATAGAAAAAATTATGAATACATAAACTCAGGGACTCCATTTTACGATCACATTAAGTCAGATACAACTTGTGCAGGATGAAGATGAATTTGTGAGCTAATTTTTTTTCACCTCTTGTCTTACAAATGTTTATTACTATGATTAACATGAACAAAAAAAGTTTAAAATTTGTTACCACTTCTACCAATCAAACTGCCTTCCGTGTAGGACATGAAACGATGAAAAAAAAAAAACGCCAAATTTGGCGGTTGAAAAAAAATATATAAAAAATTGTAAAGTATTAGAAATTTTTTTTTTTTTAGGGTAAATTGCACTCACAAGCTTTTTCTCACACAGCCGACAATCAATGCACTTATTTACATTGATATCCTTGAGATTTCAAAATCATATTTATTTTTGATTATTTTATTAAGTTAATTTACAATCTATCAAACCTATTAATGGACAAACCACCTTAATCCACTCCATATATTTCTTCTCTGTAATCCCCCCTCTCTCAACCACCACCAACACGCACATGCAACCACAACCACCACCACCGCAGCCACTAATAAAAAAACAAGCCAAACCCAAAAAAAAAAAAAAACACATAACTCACTCTCTCTGTTCGATTCTCTCTTCCAAAAAAGACAACCTTTTTTCTTTTTTATTCACCACCAACTACGGCCTACACCCACGCCGCCGCCTCATCCCACCGGAAATACACAGAAAGGGTATGAGAAAGAAAGGGATTGGAGATCACGACTATCTCTAATCATCATCCAACCAATAATTTCATCTCAATTGCTTGGAAGCGCACTACCGAAAATTTCGCTGCTTCAAATCATTCCCGACGACAACATCGCACAACAGGTCCAACCTAGTGACTTCCTTTGCCTTTGCCTTTGCCTTTGCCGTCGATATCCCCAGCTAAGTCATTTCAAACCCCAAGACCACAACGTTGGTCCCAAGTGACCTCTGTAGGGGTTCTTTTTGATCAAACAATAAAATATCTTCATAATTGGAATATAGGACATAAAATGTGAAGGAAACAGAGGAGATGCTTAGTGTAGGAGGAGGAGAAGAAGACCAACTAACAAGATTTTTGATGGTGGTATAGTAAGTATACAGATTCTTATGACAGCTCCTTCTTCTGAGGGTTGGTTTATTCTTTCATAAGACAATGCTATTTATAGGCCCGGATTCCATTGGTCATTATCTAATGGTCTCCTCCATGCATGGTTTCTCACATGCATCACCTCCAATCTAGATTTCATGGGTAATCCCGGAGGTTTAAGAGTCTGAAGGGTCTAATCCCCTCATCGAGCCTTGCATTACATTGCTGTGTCATTCCTCCATTAATCAAGGGCATTAAATGTTGCTTGGCCGCCGGTTGGTGAACCTGACACAGATTCAAATGTGATTTTAAGGTTTGCTGTCATAATATGTATAATTCCATCATCTTGTTAATTGGGCCTTGCTAAGAGCGAAGGCACCTCTTGACTTCTCATCCACTAATCCAAGATCCTCCTAAGTTACCCAAATTTAGATCCTTTATAGCTGCGAAGATCCTACCTTCTCTTCGCGCTTATGTGTGAACTTTGCCAGCGAGCCCCTTAAGGCTCTGTTCTTTCGCGATGATGTTACAGGCTTAAAGTGCTCGAGGATTGGTCCTCCGAGACTTGGTGGGCCTGGCTTGAGGCCAGGCTTAGAGTGCTTGAGAGTTAGCTTCTCGAGGTTTGATGGGCCTAGCTCGATGCCAAGGCTTAGGGTGCTCGAGGGTTAGCTTCTCGAGACTTGATGGGCCTGGCTCGATGCCAGGGCTTAGGGTGCTCGAGGGTTAGTTTCTCGAAGCTTGATGGGCCTGTAGCGATGCTAAGGCTTAGAGTGCTCAAGGTTAGACTCTTGAGGCTTGATGGGCCTGGAGCAATACCAGGGCTTAGAGTGCTCGAGGGTTAGCTTCTCGAGGCTTAATGGCCTGTAGCGATGCCAGGACTTACTATGCTCAAGGTTAGACTCTTGAGGCTTGATGGGTCTGGAGTAATGCCAGGACTTAATATGCTTGATAATTGGTCTCTTAAGACTTTTAACTTTTCAAATTGCCACGGGGGATTTGGTTGGGATCGTGTTGACTTGTCAACATGCTATGTCAGCTTTCAATAGATGACACCCACAACCTCTTTTGCCTTTGTCGTCAACAGTACGGGTAAAACTGTTGCTAGATTAGAGCTTCGTTGAGAAGAAGTTGATGGAGAAGCTAAATATCACCGCTCATGATGGCCCGAGCAAGTTATTGGACCACCCGCTTTAAGTTTTGAAGTCATTTGAGCGGTTCGCCATCAATGGAGAGCTGAACTTGGACCTAACGTACTTCGATCTGATGGCTTATTCTTCTCTCTGGTTTGCGGCCCGCTGTTGGAACTTGGACTTGTTGTTGAACCGACTGGGTCTGAAGAACCAGGAGTGGTAAAGCTGTCCATTCCTTGATTCTCGCAGCGTTCATGTCTCGTTTGGGTTCACGGCGAAGATACAGTTGGCGACGACGGTGTAAAGGTGTTCATAACCCCGATCAAAGAGAATTTGTAGTGGTTCAAGGTCTGCCACAACAAAGCATGGTTGTGGCATTTAGGACAGTGGTGGTGTGTATAAATGTATTGTGTATATATCTGCATGTTATGATATTTTGGAGAAAGAATGAAAAATGGAAGTTATTTTGGTCCTTCAAAATTTAGTTTACAAATTTATACTTTTTATGTATTATTTGACCAAGTTAAAAGGTTAAATGATCATTTTTTTGTTTTTTTGGATGTAAGAGGTCCAGAGGGGTGTGTACGTAAATAGTACAAAGGGCATTGAGTGATATTGACAAAAAATTCAGAAAATATGAGAGTAATTTATTCATTTTTTAAGACAATAGGACGTTTCTTTAACTTTGAAAGAAAATAATAGAAAAGCGTTATCAGATAATCTTTTATAATTTTTATATTTATCTAAAAACAGATATTTTTATAATTAAATTTCTAAATAATCAGTTTTTACAATTTTCTGTTTTGTTAATTTATCCATTTTTTAAGACAATAGGACGTTTCTTTAACTATGAAAGAAAATAATACAAAAGCGATATCAGATAATCTTTTATAATTTTTATATTTATCTAAAAACAGATATTTTTATAATTAAATTTCTAAATAATCAGTTTTTACAATTTTCTGTTTTGTTTCATAGTTACTTATATTTTTAAAAATTCAAGACTTTGACTCGGTAAAATGGACAATTTTCCCTAATTACACATCTTCTGCTCCGTCCGGCGACCTCCAACGCCGTTCTTGTCGGCGCGGTCATGTGAAGTTCTGGTTCACCATGACGGCGCTTTTGAGGTCGTGGGCGTGCTCGGAAAGCGATACTTGTTAGGATACTCATTGAGATCGTCAAGGGTTTCATCAATTGTCTCGAGACAATCGTGAAGCGTGGTCTTTTCGCCCTTCGTGAGGTTCTTCAAAGTATGAGCTTCTGTATTCTGAAGAAGTTGTGCTCTACGGCGGTGATGATGGCGATGGTTATATGGCGGATAAGCATAATTCGGGGTAGAATGTGGAGCTACACGAGGATTTGACAATGGAATGAGTTGGAGAGGCTTCGATGTCTTCGGCATCGGAGTTTTTCAACAATGCCAATCAAGGCGACGACGAGGAGGACGGATGGAAGGAACTGGGTGATTTAAGTGAGGATAGAGAATGGGAAGGAAAGGGCGACGAGATGTTTGGATATGGTAGGGGTTTTTATCAGTAGTGAGCGGAAGGAGTGTTTCATGTCTTGTTATTGATTCAGTGATTTCTTCATGCAAATTTAAATACTTTTCAAGCCATGCAATTAGGTGAAATGCGCACTCTTGCTTTCTTTTGCATTTTATTTGCCTAGGTTTGCAAGAATTGACTATTATATTGCTATATTGAATTGATGGGAAGCCATTAAAATTCTATATTAGCCTATATTGAATTGATGGGAAGCACCATTAAAATTCTCTATTAAGCTGCTGGCCCACTTTCATTGATTAATTTCTATGGTACTTTGATGCCAGGCGTAAAGATCATATAGTATGCACTTCAAATGCCTTCCAAAACTCTGTGGGAACCCTTGCCATTTTATTCTTGGAACTACTATTATAATGTGAATGTCAATGAATTGCATTATTTGAGATGCCATTAACATTTCAGCCTCGACAAGTTGATACTAAGTCGTCTTGTTTGGGGACATCACACAATTCACGTAGATTTCAAATTCCTTAGCTGCTAGATTTGCTTACTTAGCATCAATGTGTTTTTTTTGGTATCAATGTGGTCCTCTGGAGTCATATTTGCTATTCTATTAAGTGAAAACTCCATGTCTTTTTTTTTTTTCCTAATTTTTCGGCATGTCTTTTTCTAAAATGATGCATGCTTTGCAATGTGAGAGATACTCTATTAATATCAGAAGAGATTGTGAGAAACAATTTAATTCATAGAAGAAAATGTATGATTAAGTTTAGGAATATGCACAGTGTAGTCCACCATCTAGTTCCATATCTTGGTGGTAGATTACATTCACAAAACTTAGTTAGTTCATCTAGGTGATTTAGTTTGGTGAAACTTGTTAATCTTTAATTTTCTACTTGTATGCCTAGTTTTAGATGCGTGCTGCTGATGTACAGCGTACACGACTCTCAAATTTGTAAAGCATATGATAGCGACCAGATGTCTCTGATTCCATTATTTAGGCATGTAAGTTTTGGCACTAGTTATGTAGCTGTTATTATGCCAGAAAAGCCTAATCTACTTGTATTTATCTTGTATTTCTTATTTCTTATTTGTTTTTATAAACAGAATTTTTTTTCATGCTAATTTGTTCATTTTGTTGCTATCTAATATAGCCCTAATTTTTGGACTAACTGAAATGAATGCTCTCTTTTTTAGCAAGTGGAGCTTGTGTTAAATGCTTCTCGTCGATTTCGATATACCTTGGAATTGAATAAGGAAGAAGAGAAGCAACAAACAATAAGGAAGATTAGAGCACATGCAAAAGTCATACGAGTAATATTGTCTGTAAATGAATTTCCTTAAATATTTTTAGTTATTTGATCAAATTTTTAATCTATGATTCTTGCTCTGTTAGGCGGTTTATCTTTTCCAAGCAGCTGAGAAACAAGTAAATGGTACTGCCCTTTCTTTCCTTTCTTGTGTTTAATTTTCTCCAATTTTTATCTAATTACCTACAATGTGGCATGGTAAGTGTAGGATTCGGAAAACAATAGGTTGTCTTTACCCTTCAATAGCATTTCCTTACTAGAATGGTATTCTTATTTGAGTAATTCTTTCTTTATATATCTGTTTGCGTTACTGATAGGAAAAGGATATGCATTTTTTTTTTTCAATTATGGTCTTTAACCTTTCTATGCTTTATTGATTTCCCTTTTTGGCTTCAATTAACTTTTTCAATAAACTTTAACTCTTACTTATTCACAACCCTTGAGTTTCTGCAACTTCAAACTCGTTTGTTTGTATTGAATCAATTACTTCTTACCTATGTTGGACCTATTCTCTGGTTTCCTCTGTTTTTTTATTGTCTTAGCTCTATTATATTTGAATTTGGATTTACCCAGGACCCTTAAGGTTATGCAACTCTCTAAAATTGCTGATTCACATTGGGCCAAAAATTTGCACCCCTGTGAACCTCTATCTCCATTTATTATTATTAATATTTTTTGGTGTGTTTTTTGATTGTTCAAAGCATGTCAATAGACTCAATACTGCTATTCATTCTTTAGTTAGTCCTAGAAATATTTTAATAGTGAGTACTCTTAAATTGCTGTCATTTTTATTTGATTGCCAAATATTGTTGCATAACATTGTTTTAAAAGCTAAGTGGAATGGTGAACCAATTTTTGTAACTGACCGTAATAGTTGGGAAAAGGCTTTGCTTAATTGATAAAGGAGGCCGATTATTTGGATGATCTGTGTGGTCCAATTAGATAGTTAGTGTTGAAAGAGTACGGAAATTTGAAGTTTTGTGAAAAGTTAATTACGTTTTAGAAATCGAATATAATTCTGTTGCAATGTTTTTGATATTGAATTCTTTCGGCACAAAAGAACAGATGTGTTTTTACGTATATATTTCTAGAAACTTCAAGCAAATTTTGCCTTCACATACAATTGTGTGTATTTCACTAAATATTATGTTATTTACTACTTCTAATCTTTTTGAATAGAAAACAACTTGGTGTAGTTGTCGGGCTGTTGAGGCTGATCCTCTAAAATATACTGTCACATGATTTTTAGATGTAACAAGGTCACATTTTGCTTCCATTTATGATGGAAATCTTAAAGCATCGTCTTATGGAGCTTCTAATCAGTCTATTGTCTTTTCCTATGACTATAAACATGTTAGTTGCTTACATGCTTCTGTGGATTTACTTGGTTCATCTTGGTATCAGGAACTCCAAAGTTACCTCCAATTCCAACCGGTCATTATGATATTGGACAAGAGGCACTTGCATCATTGACAAGAAAACATGATTTGTCCGCTTTGCAGCAATATGGAGGGGCAAGTCTAATTGCAGCTCATTTATATATGTGTATTGTAAGTTTTCTTTATACTAATTGTCCTTTAGTTCTAGATCATCATTCTGCATCCTGGCTGCGTTTCTACATCAGGTAAAAGGACTGGAAGATAAGTTAAAGACAAATCTAGAAAAGGGAATCCCTGGTCATGACGATGATATATTAGAGAGAAAAGAAGTATTTGGATCCAACACATATCCTCGGGAAAAAGGACGGAGTTTTTGGGTATGTATTGCAATTAATTTTGACTTTTGGGCATTATCTTCTTCCTACTGATTTTTTAATTAAGTAATATGTGCCATCTTTTTGTAATGGAAAAAAGGTACAATGAAATTCATTTTGCTGTTAAATGTTCTGTAGAGGTTTCTTTGGGAAGCTTGCCATGATACAACCCTGATTATTTTGATGATTGCCGGAGCTGTTTCTTTAGGGCTTGGTGTAAAGACACAGGTGAGATGAAGTCGAGATTAGTCATTACGAGTATTTATTGTTGTAGTATGTTATGTCCTAGAGTTGCCTTCATCATGGTGTTGCCTGTGGATTGTGCATAAATTGTAAAGTTTGGCCCTTTGCAATTCCTTACAAAACCACCATACAATTAATTTGTTACATCACTCAAAAAATTGAATTCATTTAAGACAAGACCATTTAATCTCTTAACATATTTACATGCACCACACTTGCTATTTCCTACTTGCTAAAATATTCCCACTACCGATATAAGTATACAAGATTTTGGGTTTTGGCTTACTCAAACTGAGAGTCAAGAGCTATATTTATATACAAGAATAGGGTACAAAGAAAGAAAACCAAATCAAAGAAAAATAGGAAATATGCCAAAATCTACTTGATCCCATGATAATAGGGATCTTACGTAAAACACCTAGCTGAAAACAACTAATAAAAAAAAATAATAATACAGATATTTCAACACTCTCCCTCAAGCTGGGCTGAAGATCTTAATCAAGCCCAGCTTGGTAATCGAGGAATGAAGCAAAGATGGACCAACAGATTTGGTGAACACATTTGCCGATTGATTAGAGGACCGAACAAAGCACGGCTTGATAATTCCTGAACGAACCTTCTCTATGATAAAACAAATGTCCACCTCTAATCAAGTTTAGTCCTCTCATGAAGAACAAAATCTGAAGCAAGCATGATGGCTGACTTATTTTTACAGAACAAGTCTGAGGATTGTTTTTCACTTAGCCCTAGCTCCTCCAAGAAAGATCGAAGCCAGAGAATCTCACAAGTACCCTGGCTATGGCACGATACTTAGCCTCTGCTGAAGATCTCGAAACTACAGGTTGCTTCTTACTTTTCCAGGATATAAAATGATTTCCATAGAAAGTACAGAAGCCAGATGTAAGGTGGGTTCCGGCCGAATCAGTGGGATAGAGGTTTCACCGGAAGCGGCCGTCAGTCTTTTTTGCAGAGTTGGGATCAGAGAAGGCATCGCGGTGAGATTCACGTGCAGCATACGCGCGGGTGGGGGAGGAACCTTATCCATACACGTGGTTGGCGTCCAGGACATGGCCGTTATAAGACTAATCCAGCTGTTCCCACGATCTTTTCAAATTCTGCTCTAAATTCAGTTTCATTCGCTTGGGCTAGGAAGGGTCCAAAGCCTTCTCGTGATGATGGGCCTGGTCTTGGGCCGCGGAGTGGGGCTTCGGTTGTTAAAGGGACTAAGGAGGTTTCTAAATTTTCTGGTGGGCTGAGTGAGGGGACTAAGGTTTGTGGGTTGGATGGAGGTCTTATTTCTCAGTCACTTAATAATGTTTCTGTTGACGGGATTTCTGGGTCGACGAGTGGGCTGGACTCAGTCCCTTCTTGCTCTGGGGTTGCGTTGAGCAACAGATTTGGGCTGTTAGCTTTGTCTTCCTCAGTGGACGGAAGATGCTCTCAGCCATCTGGTTCTCTCAGCGCGAGCGTCAGAGAGGAACGGCGAGGTAAGTCTGCGCATTACCATCGTCTGTCTAAGAAGAAAGTCCTCCTTCCTGCGCTTCGTAAGAGGTGGAGTCGAAATGGGTGTTGTCTTCGCAACTGGGTTCTGATCCGGGTAAGTCAATAGCTTTTTCTGGGTCTTCTTCTCTCCGTGATTTCTCTTCTTCCCCTTCTCCTTCTGTTGGGGGTTCGAGTAGTTCGTTGGGGTTGGAGAAGGGTGGGGTGGTCACTGTGTCCAATTCCTTGGCTCCGGTTGGTAAAAGTGACTCGGTGTTTGAGTCAGATGTTGGTCACGACGGCGGATCTGCGAATGGGCTTGGCCTCGCTCGTTTTTCAGAGTTTTTTGGTGAGGGTGTTACGGTCTGCGTGGGACGGAATGTTAGGGTGAAGATTAATGAGGCTTCTGCCACTGTTCTGTTGAAGGAGATTCGGGATCTTTTGGCATCCAAATCTGTCCAGTTTGAGGAGGAACTTGATTCACTGTTGACTGATTGCTCCCTTTCCTCTTCTGTCCTTGATGATTGTGAGGGTGATGCTGGCTCTGCACATGATGGGGATTTGGGTTTAGTTTAATGGAATAACATTGAGCAAGCAGTGAACTTGGCTGTCCCTTTGGCTGTTGTTCGTCCGGAGGAGGATTGGATGAGAGGTTCTTTTGTTTCTGAAGAGGTGAATGATGTGGAGGAGGAGTGGGTGAGGGAGAATGGGATGGAAGTGGGCTCACTGCTGGGAGTTTCTTTCGAGGGCAGGGAGGATGAGGCAATGCAGTTGTTCCCGGGAGTTCTCAATTCTCAACTCAGGGAGAGGGTGGGAGGCAGGGACAGAAGTCAGGAAGGGGTGGGTGATTCGGTGTTCCATAATCCTACTGGTTTTATCACTTACGAAAGGAGGAACAGGGGATCCAGGGAGAGTGATGGTGGTAGGAGGGGTGGTTTCTCTAATTCTGTTGTTTTCCCATGAAGCTACAAATTCTTTCATGGAATGTCTGGGGTCTTAATGACTCGGTCAGAAGAAAAGTGGTGAAGTCGGTCATTCGTAAAGGGGGAGGTCATGTGGTGTGTTTGCAAGAAACCAAACTCGCTTCGACGTCGGATAGGTTGGTGCGTAGTCTTTGGGTTGGAAGATTTGTGGAGTGGGTTGTTTTGGATGCTGTTGGCTCTTTGGGTGGCATTTTGATCATGTGGGATAACAGATGGGTGTCTAAGGTGGATTCTCATGTTGGGAGATTCTCTGTCTCCTGCGTGTTTTCTTTGGTGGAGGATGGTTTTCCTTGGGTTTTTTCTGGTGTTTACGGGCCTACAGAGGATAGTATGCGTCATTTGCTTTGGGAGGAATTGGGGGAGGTTCGAAGGAGATGGTTGCTTCCCTGGTGTGTTGGAGGGGATTTCAATATTGTTCGATCTCCTTTCGAGAGATCGACGGGGGGTAGATGGACTTCTGATATGGAGGTTTTCTCGGATTTCATTGATGAGTTTAGATTGATTGATCTGCCTCTGGAGGGTGAGCCTTTTACCTGGTCTAGTGGACGCTCTCCCCCTACTCTCTCTCGGCTTGACAGGTTCCTTGTGTCCGGGGAGTGGGAGGAGAAATTTTCTGATGTTGTGCAAGCTACTTTGGCCCGTCCTATCTCTGACCATGTCCCGTTGATGCTGGATTGTGGTAGGTTGCGGAGTAAACGCTCTCCATTTCGTTTTGAGAATATGTGGCTTCGGGATGAGGGTTTCTGGAAAGGGTCCGATCTTGGTGGGCGGGGTTTGGGGTGATTGGCACCCCAAGTCATTTGCTGGCAGGTCATTTGCGTCGTTTGAAGGGAAGTATTAAGATTTGGAACAAAGAAGTCTTTGGGAATCTTGTGTGAAGGAAAAATCGGGTTCTAGTTGAGATCGCTGATATTGATAGGATGGAGGGTCAAGGGGATTTGGCTGACGCTTTGAAAGTTAGGAGGGCGGAGTGTAAGGCGGAGTTTGCTGAGATTGCGATCATGGAGGAGATCTCGTGGAGACAAAAGTCTAGAGCTTTGTGGCTTAAGGAGGGGGATAGTAAACACGAAATTTTTTCACAGATTGGCCAATGCTCATAAAAGGGGCAACCATATTGGGAGGATTCAGGTGGAAGGGGAGCTTCTATGCAAGGAGGAGGATATTTGCAAGGGCATCTCAGAGTTCTACGAGAAGTTGTTCACTGATACTGTTGAGTGGAGACCCTTGCTTGAGGGGCTTCAGTTTGCCTCTATTTATAGTGAGGAGTGCTCGGGTCTTGAGGAACCTTTCTCTGAAGAGGAAGTTCTTTCTGCTTTGAAGAGTTGTAACGGGGATAAAGCCCCAGGTCCCGACGGTTTTACCATGAGATTTCTTTTGGAGTGCTGGGAGGTGGTTAGAGGTGAGATGATGGGTTCATTTCATGCTTTCCATGCTCAGGGTTCGTTTGAGAAGAGTTTGATTGCCACTTTCATTTCTCTCATTCCGAAGAAAGGAGGGGCGATGGATATTAGGGATTTTTGCCCTATTAGCCTAGTGGGGTGTTTCTACAAGTTGATTGCCAAGGTTCTTGCTTCTAGGTTGCGGAAAGTCCTAGATGGTGTCATTTCTGATTCTCAGAATGCTTTTGTGGGAGGTCGTCAGATTTTGGACTCAGTTCTTATTGCTAGTGAATGTGTGGACTCCCGATTACGCGGTGGGTCCCGGGAGTTTTGTGTAAGCTTGCCCTGGAGAAGGCTTACGACCATGTGAATTGGAACTTCCTTCTTTACCTGATGAAGAGGATGGGGTTTGGTGATCGGTGGAGGAGATGGATTCATTTTTGTATTTCCAGTGCTCGCTTCTCGATTCTTGTGAATGGTGCTCCTATCGGTTTTTGCTCTAGCTCGAGGGGTTTAGGACAAGGGGATCCGCTTTCTCCTTTCTTGTTCCTGTTTGTGATGGAGGCCCTCAGCATATTGATGAGTAAGGCTATTGAGTTAGGGTTTCTGAGAGGCTTTCAAGTGGGCAAGGATGCTGCTCCCCAGTTGGAGGTCTCCCATTTAATGTTTGCCGATGACACTTTGGTTCTTTGTGATGCGAATGTGTCCCAGCTTAGATATTTGAGGTGTGTCCTGATTTGGTTCCAAGTTGTTTCTGGCCTTAAGGTGAATGTGGGCAAAAGCGTTTTGGTGCCGGTGGGAGAGGTCCCTGAGATTGGGTTTTTGGCTGATATTCTTGGTTGTCGTACTGATTCCTTTCCTATCTCTTACTTAGGGATGCCAGTTGAGATTAGTCATTATTAGTATTTATTGTTGTAGTATGTTATTTCCTAGAGTTGACTTCATCATGGTGTTGCCTGTGGATTGTGCATAATGGTAACGTTAGGCCCCTTGCAATTCCTTTATATTAAGCATTAATTTGTATTATTATGATCTGAGCTACCTAATTGCAATTTTTTTGGATCTCCAGTCATAGCACGTAATTTTTGTTGTATTCCAATATTTACTGTGGGATTGGATGCAGAGAAGTTTTTCCCTTTTACAGCTTAAACAAAGTCCTATATATTCTGTAAGATCTGTTGTGTGCGAGAAGTTCATCTGGTTTCTCATTCGGCAAATACTTGTCTCATTTCTTGTTTCACTTTTGCATACTTGTAGAAGATAGGCAAAAGACTTGGGTGTATGTCGAAAATTTTCTTTATATGCTTAGTCGTTTTAATTAGCTTTTAGGTCTAAAGGTTGACAGAATGGAGTGCAAATTTTAGCAACTTTTGGAAAGCTCATAAGCAGAAGGCTTAAATTGGATTTAATTTGGGTATGCATATGGTGGGGACCCGGTTTGACCATTATACTTATAAATTCTTAATAACTCAATTAAAGTGCTTAGAGAATCATGGTTTTGGTTCAAGAACTCATGTGATACGTCCCTTAAGTTACTGGATTTGGTGTATTATTCCACTGAGAATCTATTTCATTTGAATGTGATTAGTAGAACTTGAATCATAATATTGGTTGCGTCTCAACTTGTGAGCTAAAAATTTCGATGCTAAGAGGATTTTTGATTACTTGATATTTCTTCGTATTTTTCCCACATCCAGTGGATTTTCATAGATGTTTTGCTGATAGTTTTAATGGATGTTTTCAATTTATATCATGTAACATCCTTTTCACTTTTATTATTTGGTTTGGCAGCATGGATCTTTTAATGTCTCATAATGTGAGCAGGAATCCTTGAACAACTCACCAAAGAAAACATTTTTATTGAAGCTCGGATAGTCTGCTATTTGTATTGTTTCTTTTCTTCTGTGGTATTATCATTTACCTTCCTGCTACAGAATCATACAGAGTCACATTGTTACAGTGGTGTTGGATCTTGGAACTTCTTTAAAGTCTGACAATGATATTAGTTGGTACATATATATATTTTTTTGATAAGTGATATTAGTTGGTACACACACATATATATATATTCTTCTTTTCTCCATATTTAAGAGCAAAACAGAACTGTACAAAGACAAAAAGCCCAAACAGAAATGCTGGATATTGCTTTACTTAAATCTCTGAACTAGTCAGTCAGTTATGAGTTAGCATTGGTAAACATCCGTTTAGGAGCTTCCAACCTTGTATTTTATGAGTTATTATTCATAATCTGTTGTACAATTTTTTCTCTATTTTTAGCCCACTCTATTATGCAAGGTTACTTCTTTGTAAAATTTAAACCATAGTTCTTGACTATTCTTTTCTTTCGTTTTTCCCCTTAAAATTAATATCGGTTCATGTCTCTGAATTAAGTATTCCCTTGTATGGTATTAAGGAAGGATGGTACGATGGAGGGAGTATCACATTAGCGGTCATCATTGTTATAATCATTACAGGTATTGATCATGTTCATTGGAATATTTATTTACTTTGTGTTGTTTTCCACGTGTACGTTTATCCAGATTCTTCTGTGCTTCGACCTTGTTGACCTTTGGTATGTGGGTAATTTATATTGGATTGAATAATGAGATTCATAATCATATTGATAGTGAGGTTTGTGCAGTTATAGTTGGTTTGATTTGTATGCATTATTGTCCATCTTCATCACTTTTGGCTAAAGAATTATGACACATTAAGGCATAACAGGTGTAATGTCTACTATTCATAACTTTAAAAAAATAATAATAATTGTCCACCATACATTGAGTCCTTGTAACGCAACAGTTAAGAGTCAGCTACATATGCTAGCAGTCACTTTATAAAGGTTCATCATCATAATTGTCTAACCTTAACTGGTTGACGAGCGTTGTTATCATGGGGTGCTGTTCATGGTCCCAAAATAGTTACATTTTTATTCCAAAAAATCTATCCTACAACCTTTAATTAACCAAAACCAGTTTGAAAATCTAGCTACCTGTCACTTCGAAATCCTACATCCAAGCCATTCTGATCCTTTCCAGTTGAAATATTTCCAATCTTATTATCCTCTTTTTTAGCCCTAAACTTAAAAAATGTTGGCATCTTTTTGCAGCATGAACCTAACAGGAGGTAGCATTATTTTATGTTTTCTAGTTCTTTCCTACATCCCCTGCTGGCTGTCCCGTACAATGGAGTTTTTTTTTTTTTTTTTGATAAGTAAAAATGTATTAGATAGCGTTCAAAAGGGGAACGCGTCCCAAGAGCTGTACAAGAAACAAGAACAAAAGGAAACAAAAGGAAGACCTATGGACCCAAAGACCCCAAAAAGTCCATAATCTCCTCAACCGAAGAACAATCTCTCCCCATACCCCAACTAAAAAGAGAGCAAATAATAGAGTACTTCAAATACAATGGAGTTTGTATGCTCATTGAACTCCTCTCACCCTCACGCTATGCTCTTCCAAAGGTCTACTGCATGCGTTATTGTAACTTTCTTCGAAGTTCACCCACCCGTATTGCTCCAGTACTTCCCTTCCACTACACTACCCCATGTCTTTTCTTATCTTTTCTTAACTTTATATTTTGCTGGCTGTATATTATTTGTTTGTGTACTAACCTAGTATATTTTCTGTATGTATTTTGTTTACGGGAATACTGAAATTGGCATTCTACAGTTATGCTTATTTTGGTTTGTTTTGTTATTGATAAACATCAGTTTTCTACAGAATATTTGTCATGTGTGATTGGTAGTTCAAGTTGAGGGGCTGTCATCTTTGGTTGTCATATAGACTCTCCAGAAAAGAATTGGCTTTCACAAAATACAGCTATCATTGCATATTTGATTCGTTATCAGTTATCCTTGGTGATGCCATTAAAAACGTGTTTCCCATGATTGCATCTTGAGTTGTATTGGTCAATTGATGATGATTTACTGGTTCACAGCTGGGCGCATAAATCTGGCTCTTTCTAATTGCCATCTTTGATGTATTTAATGGATGTTCTGTATCATGCTATGTCATGCATTTGCTTAACTATTGGTTGTAATGAAAAACAAAAACATTGTTTCATTGTACTGAATGCCATATTAGTTTCTTAACTTCTTTCATTATTTATTTATTTTTTATCCTGAAGCTACAAGTAATTATAGAGAATACCGTCAATTCCAAGCTTTAAGCAAGGAGAAGCAGAATATGCACTCGGAGGTGCGTCTTATGCAGTTTGGCAATGTCATTGACCTACAATGTTTTTCTTTTCCTCACCGTTGAAGATATGCATACACAGGTCAATAGAGGTGGTAGAAGAGTTGAGGTTTCAATATTTGATCTTGTTGTTGGCGATGTGGTGCATCTTAAAACTGGTGATCAGGTGAATGGCATAAATTCATATTTTCACTGTGTTTGACCCTTGCATTTCCAATGCTTTTACTAACTTTTGTACTTCAATTCTACCCCAGGTACCTACAGATGGAATTTTAATTTTTGGTCACTCTCTTGCAATTGATGAATTGAGCATGACTGGGGGGAGCAAGATTGTAAGCGTTCTATCCTAGTATATTGTTCTGTATTTTTGTTTCCCTAATTCACTAGCATGATCTCCTTCTTGGTAGGTTGACAAGCATGCGAAGGCACCATTTCTAATGTCTGGCTACAAAGTTGCATATGGCTATGGCTTTATGCTGGTAAAATTTCAATCTATATTATTTTATATTTTTGGTTGTGGATGTAATTTTCAATCTATATCAGTTAAAATAGCATCTATGCAATGCATGCTAATGACATGGATGACAAAGTTAAATTAGGTATTAAAATTATTTTAATGTTCAATTGTAGTTTCTATGTTTTGTGTAGCTTGCTTCATTTGCTATAATATGCTAACTTATGTGTTTTCATTATTTTTAGGTAACAAGTGTTGGAATAAATACAGAATGGGGGTTGCGAATGGCAAGTCTTTCAGAAGATACTGGTGAAGAAACACCATTGCAGGTTCATCTATTTAAATATGCAACCTTCTCTAAATGGTAAAACTGGAGCTTGTCTCTACACTTTATCTTTGAGTGACTGGTTAGAAAAGACTATTTGTGAATGACTTGTGCTAGGTACGTTTAAATGGAGTTTCAAAATTGATTGGTGTCATTGGACTGGCAGTAGCTTTCTATGTTTCGTATGCCCGTCTTATCAGGTAAATTGAATCTTATTTGATGTCCTCATCTACGCCCCCCCCCCCCCCCTCTCATAAAGTGTTTGATATATAAAGCTTATAAATTTGAGTATCTACAGATACTTTACTGGGCATACCAAAAATCTGGATGGAAGTGTTCAATTTGTTGCTGGCAGGACTAAAATTGGTGACGCCATAATCATTGTTACAGTATGTTTCCCTTTAAGATGACAAATTGATATATGTGTGTGTGTGTGTTTTTTTTTTTTTTTTTTTTTGAGTTTCTGACCAATGGCAGAAGAATTGTAGGAAATAATTGTGATTGTTAGACTGCCTGAGGGGCTTCCCTTAGCTGTTACATTAACGTAAGTCTGATCTTTCTGTTGTATTTTAATTTCATTTTATTAGTTTTGTTGAACATAATTTGTATTCAGCATTGTAAGACTGAGTTTCCTTACGCAAACACTGTAAATTTTTTTTTTCCTTTTCTGAAGAATAAATCATCAACCTTTTTTAGGTTGATAACCATTTCTTATCCATGTCAAGCTTGTTCAAATTTCTATTAGTTCTTCTAGCATGTTTAAGATTTTACTGGTTTCTCTGTGTCCGTGGTAGAGACGCGGAAGGAGTCTTCTACTCCGACCAGTCACCAAAGTCCTTAACTCCGGTGAAATCCTCTGCCACTCTTCTTTCTTTTCTTTCTTTTTTTCCTTTTTCTGTTGGGTTTGTTGTTTGTGCTTTCTTTTTTCTCATTCTCTTGTGATGCGGATGTTCTTGGAGGTTGCTAGGTTGCCTCGTTTGTTTCAAGGCGGAACTGTAAGATCTTCTTTCACTTATCGAGGGCATTCGATTTTTCTGGATTCCGACTCGGTTGGAAGGAGAAGAGAGGACCTTCGATCGTGTTTGGTGGGTGTTCAAAGTTATATATATGAGAGAGAGAGAGAAGTTTCAGACTTGTATATATTCATCATACTCAAACCTAATAAAGTGTACAAGGATTATATAAAGAGTACAAGTCTTACTTAACTACACAAGGGCCCCTATCAACTTTTTGTAATTACATAATGGCCCAACACTTATATATATATATATAAAACATTCTAACACTGCCCCTCAAGCTAGAGAATATATATCAAATAATCCCAGCTTGGAACAGATAGTTCTTAACCGGTTATGACCCAATGCTTTGGTAAACATATCAGCTATTTGATCTTCAGACGTCATAAATGGAGTAGAGATGCTCCCACTTAATATTTTTTCTCGAATGAAGTGACAATCAACTTCAATATGTTTAGTCTTCTCATGAAACACAGGATTTGATGCAATGTGAACTGCTGCTTGATTATCACAGAATAATGGAGTAGGAGCCCCAACTATCAATCCAAGTTCTTTTAGAAAATGTTGTATCCATGTCAACTCACTAGTGGTATGGGCCATTGCCCTATATTTAGCTTCAGCACTAGATCGAGCTACCACCGTCTGCTTTTTTACTTCGCCATATAACAAGATTTCCTCCTACAAATGTGCAATAGCCTGTAGTAGATCTCCTATCTGAAGGAGAACCAGCCCAGTCAGCATCTGTAAAACCTTCCACCCTGAGATGACCATTTGATTTATATAGTAACCCTAAACCTGGAGCTTTCTTGAGATATCGTATAATCCGAAGAACAGCAATCCAATGTGGCATTCTAGGAACTTCCATGAACTGACTGCATATGAAATATCAGGTCGAGTGATATTGAGATAAATTAATTTCCCAACAAGGCGACGAAACCTGCCCGGGTCATTAAATAGATCACCCTCATCAGATACAAGTTTTGTATTTGAATCCATAGGAGTATCAACCGGACGACCACCCAACATACCTGTTTTTTCTAATAAATCCAACACATATTTGCGTTGTGATAAACTTATACCCTTCTTGGATCTAGCAACTTCAATGCCCAAGAAATACCTAAGTTTACCCAAGTCTTTAGTGTGGAATTGATATTGCAGACACAACTTCAACTTAGCAATGCCTTCAGAATCATCACCTGTTATCACAATATCATCTACATGCACCACAAGAAATATGAAGCCAGCTTTAGTGCGCTGGTGAAACACCGAATGGTTGGTTTGACATCTCTTAAGACCAAATTTTAACACCACCTTAGAGAATTTTCCAAACCAACCCCGTGGAGATTGTTTCAATCTATACAGAGCCTTTTTAAGGCGACAAATAGTGTGAAGATACTCCCCCTGAGCAACAAACCCAGGTGGTTGCTCCATATAAACCTCTTCTGCTAAGTCAACATGTAAAAAGGCATTTTTAACATCTAACTGAAACAGAGGCCAATGTCTATTAGTAGCAAGAGAAATCAAAACACGAATAGAAGAAATCTTAGCAACAGGAGAAAATGTCTCGTCATAGTCAATACTATAAGCTTGGGTATAACCTTTGGCAACAAGACGTGCTTTTAAACGCTCAACAGACCCATCTGGAAGATACTTCACAGTATATACCCAGCGACAACCAACAGGTTTGACATCCGGAGGTAATGGAACAAGATCCCACGTGCCATTCTTATGCAAAGCATCCATTTCATCTTGCATTGCTTTCCTCCAGCCCAAATTAGACAACGCATCCTGCACAGTCTTAGGAACGAATGTAGTAGACAACTTAGAGGAAAAACAGGAGAATGATGGCGATAAGGAATTATAAGAGACATAATGAGCAATGGGATGGTTAGTAACACGAGCGAGGAGCTTTACGAAGTGCAATAGGCAAGGAATTAGACACAGTGGAAGGCGCCGGATCCAAAGACTCTGAAGACGATGGAGGAGGCACAACAACAGATGGCTTTGGTCTTCGAGTGTACACCTGTAACGAGGCAGATGAAGGAACAAGAGATCGAGGTTGAAGAGAGAGTGAGGGAAGAGGAACGGCAGAAGGAGGCAACTCAAGAGTGATATCAAGAAGTGAATCAGTATCTGAAAAATATGGGATGGACTTAGAAAACGTTACATCTACGCTAATAAAATACCGTTGAGAAATAGGACTATAGCAGCGATAACCTTTATGAGAGCGAGAGTAGCCAAGAAATACACACTTTGTGGCACGTGGGTCTAATTTATCAAAACTAGGACCAAGATTGTGGACATAACATACACATCCAAAAACCCTAGGAGGAAGAGAAAACAAGGGAGAATCAGGAAATAAAATAGAATGTGGAGATTTGCCATCTAATACAGATAATGGCAAACGGTTAATAAGATGACAGGCAGTAAGAACAGCATCACCCCAAAACCGTTTAGGCATACGCATATGAAACGAAAGAGCACGAGTTACTTCTAAGAGATGTCGATTCTTACGTTCTGTAACTCCATTTTGTTGTGGAGTATAAACACATGAATTTTGATGAATAATTCCTTTATCACTAAGATATGTATCAAATGGAGTTGAAGAATATTCCTTAGCATTATCAGAACGTAGAATACGAATTGGACATCCAAACTGAGTTTTGATTTCTTTGCGAAATTTTTGAAAAATTAAAAATAACTCAGAACGATCTTTCATTAAAAACAACCAAGTCAGGCGAGAATAATCATCCACAAATGTCACAAAATAATGAAATTTATTGATTGAAGAATGTTTTATTGGACCCCATACATCTGAATGAACCAAATGAAAAGGACTAGAGACACGATTATTAACCCTAGACTTGAAAGACACGCGATGGTGCTTACTAAGTTGACAAACTTCACATGACAAGAATTTCAAATGACTAAGACTAGGAACTTGACGCTTCACAACTTGAAGTGACGGGTGACCAAGGCGACAGTGCCACTGGAATGGAGACAGAGAAGACTGAAGAGCCACAGGAGAAGGTTCGAAATCAAAATAATATAAGCCACCAGCTTCATGCCCCGTACCAATCGTCTTCTTCGTTTTGAGATCCTGAAACACACAAGAAGTAGGATCAAATGTAACAGAGCACTGGAGAGATTTAGTAAGCTTACTAATAGACATTAAATTAAAGGGAAACTGCGGAACATGTAAAACAGACGAGAGAGACAATGAATCATTAAGTTGAGTTGTCCCCAAACCTGAAACCTGAGTGGATGAACCATTAGCAAGAGTAACACTTTGAGAAGGATGTACAGAATGAAAATCAGATAGAAGAGAAGAACATCCGGTCATATGATCAGATGCTCCAGTGTCTATGATCCAAGGATTGCGAGTGGAAGACAATAGACATGTGTGTGCAGTACCTGACTGGGCAAAAGTAGCTGTGGAAGATGAATTAGATGCTTGCTTATAAGACAAAAACTGAGTATACTCATCCCGTGGAATAGGAACTGTATCTGATTCAGCTATGTTGTGCGATCCAGAAGCAACATCTCGGAGAAGAGGAAACTTGATTGGCATAACTAGATGGTTTCCCATGAAGATCCCAACAAAAGTTCACAGTATGATTAGCAAGACCACAATGGGTACACTTTCTGAATTCCTTGCCACGGCCACGTCCTCCACGTGAATCACGACCACCACGTGTGGAGCGTCCCCTACGACCTCCACGGTAAGTATTATGTTCACCCTTTGAAACCACTAATGTTGAACGCTCACCACTCTGTCCAGTATTCAAATTTGAGGTATCACTTGCAAGTGTAGCACGCTGAAGTCTAGAAAACACCTTAGCAAGAGATGGAAGTGTTGGATTGCTCATAATTTGTGCACAAAAAGGCTCATATGCTGATGATAAACCAGTAAGAAAACGGACAACATTAAAGTCCGCACGCTGTTGTTGCATATTGCGAACATCACCTGTAATGGGCTGATACATATTCAGCTCTTCACAGACTCCCATAACTTTGGAATACTGCTTACAGAGCTCATAAACACGAGTGATATTACTTGTCCCAGAATACAATTGCTGCAATCTGTCCCATATCTCCTTGACAGTATCCAAATAAAGTAGAGTTGAACTAATTTGGGGTTCAATACTGTTTATCATCATAGAGATGATTTGAGTATCTTCCTTTTCCCATGCATCAAAGGAGGCATCAGTTGCCTTGGGTTTCTCTTTAGTCAAATGAGAACTAAGACCTCTGCCTTTGAGGAAAATGGCAACAGATTTAGCCCACAATATGTAATTCTTCCCATTGAGTTTAACTGAAGTCATGGGAGAATTAAGACTGTTCGTGGGTGAAAGTAAATCTGAACTAGATGCCATGTTGAATCCAGCAAAACAGAGAAGAAAAACGGGAAAAAAAACAGATTTTGTATTTTGGCCGAACCTGGAAAACAGGTCGGATCTGGACAACCGGGTCGGGTTTGGTCAACGGACCTGGTCAAACGGGTTGGACTGACCTGGGCTATCCAAGT